GAAGGTGGGAGATAGTATTTTAATTATTTATTATGGAATCAAAGGTTCAATTGTACATTCAACTCCAAGTACCATGATGTAGAAGTAATAAAAAAAATCCTATCTCATATACCACAAGTAGCCTCCTATAATATAAAATACCAATTTAAAAAATGTACCCACCAGAACAAAATACTTCAAATACTTAATACTAAACTTAAAAATATAGGTCTACCTGTATATTTTTAACATTAGAAACATGTTCTGATATTTATAACAACATAAATCCCAGATGCATGAAATTTGTAAGGTTTTTTTAAAAAACCATAATCCTAAAATACTGGGGAGAAAGCGAGAAAATTATAATCTTAGAGTGGGAAAGGCTTTTCTAGGAAAACCACATGACCCAGAAACCATAAGTGTAAAATGTTAAGAATAAATAAAAAAAACCTTCCCACAGAAAGAAAACCATTAAAAACCTCAAAATGCTAACAATAAATTTTGAAAAAATATGTATCTGCAACACGTGAAACCATGGCCAGTTTTCTTAATATAGGAAGTGTATTTATATATCAATTATAAAAATCAACCCAAGAGAAAAAATAGACAATATACAGATACTGGCAATTAATAGGTAATGAAATATATGCAACATAAAGATGATAAACTTCACTTTCATTAAAGAAATGAATATTATATAATAAAATCTTAAATTTTTGTTAGATTGGCAAAGACAAAAAAATTCTGGTAATATAAAAGTGTGCACGGATCTGGGTAATCAGGCACAACCCCATTTTGTTGGCAAGGGTGTAAGATGGTGCCTCAAATTGGGAGGACAGTTTAGGAATAATCTTATAAATTTAAAGTGGATGCACATGCATTGACTTAAAGGACCCTCTTGCTAATTTCTTCTCTAGGTTGGTTTGCACATTCCTATCTTCTTCAATAATACACACTCAGCACCTGGGCCAGCTCCCCAGCAGTGCCAGTACCATTCAATACTGGTTGAGTAATGAATGTATGCAAAGGGTAATATTCTCAACCATGTTCATTTCAGCAAAAGACTAGAAACATCTCCAACCTTAAGAGGGTGGTTAAATAAATTATCATGCATCCATTCAGTGGAATTCTCTGCTGTTCTGTAATACTCAAGAAGATCTCCAAGTGTTGATGTGCAAATGTCACCAAGCTACATGGTTGACTGCCAAAAGCAACGTGACTAATGATGTGCAGAGTGGACCCCCATGTGATATATACACAAAAATATGCATAGAAAATGACTGGGGAGTTTCTTTAAACATGTTAGCAGTGGCTACTTCTGGAAGAGAGAGGTCCTAAAAGTCTAGAAAAAAAGAATTTACTTTTGCCAGGTGCTGTGGTACACACCTGTAATTGCAGACGCTCAGGAGGCTGAAGGAGGATGATTACAAGTTCAAGGCCAGCCTGGGAAACTTGGTGAGAGCCTGTCTCAAAATTTTAAAAAAATATATTAAAAATTAGAGCTGGGGATATAGCTTGGCGGTTGAAACATTGTCTCGCATGCATTAAGGCCCTGGATTCAATCCTGGGCGTTATTTTTTAAAAAGTATTTTATTTTTCCTGTATTTACTTTTTTAAAAAAATATTTTTTGCTTTAGTTGTAGATTGACACAATAGCTTTATTTTATTTATTTATTTTTATGTGGTGCTGAGGATGGAACCCAGTGCCTCGCATGTGCAAGGCAAGCGCTCCACCACTGAGCTACAACCCCAGCCCTGTATTTACTTTTGATGGAGAGAAACTAGCTAATTTTAAATCACACAGAGTGAAAAGATACAAATACTATACAACCATATGGAAATGTAGTAGGTATTTTAAAGAAAAACAAAAACTAGAGTGAAGAACTTAAAAAATATTCAGATAAACCAAAGCATATGCTATGTTCTTGTATGGGAAAACATGACAGTGTTTAGATGTTAATTTTCCTTCAAGGTAAGGTATAAATATAACATGATTCCAAGTCAAATCTCAAATTCATTCCTTCTGAGTCTTTACTAAAAGAAAAAAAAAACAAAAACCTAAGCTCATTTAGATGACTAAACAAATTTTTAGGAAGTAGATTAAAATCTGGGATGGGTGGGTAGGGTCCAGCGTGCCCTACCAGCTATTAGAAAAGATTGCTCCCTCCTCAACTGTGTCTTCCATGGACTTTGACTCAAAAGCAAAAGGATCAAGAGGTTAAGAATCATTGGAATTGCTCTCTTCTGCAGAACTGTATCTTGTGGGTTTCAGGGTTCCTGCTAAAGATCTCTCTCTCTGATTAAGAATCCTGAACCAACAGAAGCTTCCTTAGCAACCAGTTTCTAAGATTGGTCTCTAGATCCCTCAGTTATTTTATAGGCCCCATATATAAATATATAAACAAACCTAACCTTATGTATACAAACAGAGATATGAAAAATTGTGGTATATATGTGTATTAAGAATCATAATGCAAAAAAACCACAAAATACATGTATAAAGGCATAAATTGGCATGAACATTCTTTATTTACAGAGATATAAAAAATTTTGCCCTATATGTGTAATAAGAATTGTAATGATTTCCACTGCTGTCATATATTTAGAAAAAGTAAAATCAATAAAAGATCAGAAAAAAGAACTTTGGTTCTGTTATTGTTGCTTGATACATAGGACTCTTCATGATTCAGGTGGTATTTCATATCACAAAGGATGTACTAGGTTACTCAGAAAATGATTTTAGGAAAACTGCCTAACCATGCGGGGAGAAAAAAGTTAAATTTGTCAAATATATTTCTGAATACTGGAGAGTTACTATCGAAAAATAAGAGTACCCCATAACCAGTGATGACTGGGGTAAAACGATCTTGGGAAGGAAAAGGTTTTCTTCAAAATGACTCTAAGGTAATGGCAGAAAGGAGAACATTGCTAAGTTTGAATATAAAAAAATCAAAACCTTTTTTGTGTCAAAAAATAAAGTTAAAATGCAAACAATAATATACAGGAAATGTAATTGTCCAATATAAGCCAAAGGATTAAAACTATGATAAAGAAAAGATGGATTAAACTAGGTGAAAGAATTATGAGTGTGTTTTGTTTTCTGAATTTTCATGTAATTTTTGTAACACAAAAATGCATACTTTTAATCTATCATGTTTTATAGGTTTTATCTAATTTAATAGCCTATTAAAAAACCTCAGACAGGTAAACATGTGTAACAGGACATGAAAAGAAAGTTAAGAGAGAAGGCGGCTTATGTGAAGTCACCTAATAGTAGGTCATGAAGCCATGGCTTCCATTGTAGATTGTTAACTCCAAATCCAGAACTCTTTCTACTGCCTGCATTGCCCCTAAGCAAGTGAGGATACTGGTCTGAAGCTCTGAAATTACTGGCCTTGTTTGAGCCATGGCAGAGAGACACCTAGGATCAAGCTCGAAGTAGGATAAATACTTAAGATTCCAATTACCATCTAACCAAAGAGATGCTGGAGAGTGCAAAGGTGTGCACATCTGTGGGTGTTATGATGTTCTTTTCACTGATTTGTGGGGGTACTGAAGACAGAAGGAACAGAGGAAACAAGATCTTCCTTCTTTATCCTTTCCTGCAGCAACAAGGTAGTGAAATTAAGATCAATGAGGGGGAAACCCTTAAGGACTAGGCATGATATATGGGCCTCGCCTCATTCCTTTCACTTTGCTTCTTTCATACAGGGCTTTGCACTGGAAAATAAGAGTCCCAGAACAAATAGCCAATCCCTTTCTATTTGTTTATATATAGTCACTAAAGACATTATATATAGGCCACCATATTTTACCATATTTGTGACACCTACTATTTAGAATAAAGAGGATGACCAAGTTATGGATACAGAATGGCATGTCATCCTTCTGACAGAGATGGAGATTCATGTTGAGCCAGCCTTTAGTAATCAACAGGGAAGACTGCAGCACACAGAGGAAACTTCTGTGCACATGGTATTGGGTGAAATCTGATCAGTGTTCTCTAGGCCACATCAAACAGAAACAATTACTTTTTGTAACTCAGTAGGTGCTTCAGCATTGAGAATGGACAAGGAGGCATGGCCTTGCTTCAGAAAAACTTCTGGCAATTCACTACCGACTTCTCAGAACCACAGCCAATAGGGCAGAGCAGGTACATGTGCAGCTGTAGACCAACATGGCTCTGAAAGGGAGCCTGGTGTTGGCTCCAAGATAAAGAAACAAATGCCAATGCTCCTGTACTCAGGAATCACAGTCCAATCAGGAGTCCAAGAAGATCCATATTTGAGTGCACCATACACACTTCAGTTGCTGTCCCAGCCAGATGAATACACTGCAATTATGAGTTATTGTGGTTTTATTCTCTTTTGTTTGGAGGTACTGGGGATCAAACTCAGGGCAAGTGCTCTAAGTGTGCCTCAAAATTAAAGGGCCAGTTTTATCCAATAAACAAACCCTTTACAAAGTACATAGCATACTGTCTACAATTTCCTAAAAAAAAATTCTCTTTTTAATTGAAAAACTGAGAACTATATTGTTTTGATGCACTCATTGTCAAGCACTTAAAATTTACTTGTAAGAATGATTTTTAAAAATTCAGTGCAAATAAAAATTAATGCAACCAATATTAAAATATAATAGTCACTGAAGACATTTATTGCAAAATAGCACTACACTGAGGTCCTTAAAAATATACTATTAGGTCTAGGGATATAGTTCAATGGTAGATTGCTTGCTTGGTATGTGTGAAACCTGGGTTGAAGACCCAGTACTGCAAAAATAATAAAATAAAATACATTTATTAGTAACTGATTTAAAGGTTGAATAAGTTTTAATTGGAGGAATTTATAGAAATGAATAAACTTCACTGAAATTCCTTAAACAAACAGAAAACTGATGAATGAATTGAAAGTTTATAAGAACTCAAAAGTACAATAAAATTATTTTTAAATAGCTCTCATGCAAAATCAAAAATCAAAGGCTATGACCTCTGTGAATAAAGGTTTCCATTCATTACTCACCAACTGGCAGCCTTCTAGGGAGTTGACTAGCTGAGCATTCTGACAGGAAAGGATTGAACCAGCCAAATTCAGCATTACACACACTGCAGAAAGCAGCATGAAAAAGGTTATCTGGAAATAAACCAAACAAAAAATTGATTATTCATTTGGAGAGGATTAGAGAAAAAAGACTTGGTTTTAAGAAGGCTTTTGATTGATCACATAATTATGTTAATAACATGTGTTTTAAAGGAAAGTATTATTATGTCCAACATTTCAATGCACATTAACTTAAATAGAAAAGGTAAACTCTGTGGAAAGCCATAGCAAGCTGCTCTGATTTTTACTTGAAACCTATTATGCTAAAATATTTCAGAAGCTAGACTTGAAAATTCTTTACATTCTATAGTCTCAGTAGTCATAAATTATGGAGAAAATCATGTGAAAAAATATATTCATTAGAAGAACTGTAAGTTTATTTTTTTTCCATTTTATTACGGGAAATTCCACACATGTACAAAACCAGAGAGAATAGTATAATGAAGCTCCAGGTCTTCATCACCTACCTTCAAAAATTAATCACTCATGGCCAATTGTTTCTTTGTCCCTCCCCTCCAGAATATTTTGCAGCAAATAGAATCTCATCCTTACAAATGGTAATGTATGCTTCTAAAGTAATGATACTTTTTGAAAATATAATCAAAATACTGTTTTGTCCATAATACTTATTCACTAATATCAAATGTTCAAGAGTTTGCATTTCCCCAAGTAATTCCCATATTTTTCATTTTGAAACAGCTTACATAGGATATAGTGAACAGAGTACAAGTGGTTTGTTCTAAATCTTAGGCAGCTTTTAATCTATGAGTTTCTCCCTTTATTGTTTTTGTTTCCTTGAAAGTTATCAAAGGAACCATTTGTCCCATAGAATTTTCTGCAGCTTAAACTTTCTAATGTAGCCTTCTATCACTTATTGTTTGTCTAGCATCTGTGTGTCTTATAATTTGGTGGTTTGGTGATTACATCTAGACCAAATACATACTAATAAAAGGTAGATATTGTCTTTGTGTGATGTTAGCAGCTTTTGGGGAGAGGCAGTGCTGGGGATCAAACTCAAGGTTTCTGAGCATGCAAGGCAAATGTCCCAACAGTCATTTCTGATGATGGAAAAGGTTCTTAAATTAGTTTATTATAGTTTCCAAAATAATGCTAATCTGATTCTTAGTAGGAATACATCTATAGACAGAGACTTTCCTTCATCAATAGTTTTGTTTTTTTTAAGGTATAGAGTTCATACAGGAAAAGAATGAGATATATTTTTTCTGTTCATTTTCCAAATTTTGAAATAATTAGTTGCTATAATGCTCAAATTACATGGTTATATGGTTAAGTAACACTCTGCTGCACTTATGGAAATAATTATTCCACATCTAATAAAACACCTTTTTGTGATCAAGAATAATTTTTAAGAATAAAATGATAAAAAGGAAGGAAACTGTCAGAAAAAAGTTGTTAAAGACTTTGAAATGGGCAACAATAAAAATAAAAATATCTTGCTAGGGTACACTTCTGAACTATTTGTGCCTTTCATTTTCTGTATTATATTTTTAAATTCTGAAAGTTGTAGAAAATTTATAGGTGTGCAAACAATTTTTGACAATATGAATAAATGAATTCTATCTGGTGTAACATAACCGATTATCACCCTATAGATAATAACTAATTTTATATATTTATACATTTCTGCACTTTTGATTGCCTATGTATACACACAATATTTGAATTCTTTGTTGTTGTAGTTTTCAGTACTGAGAACTGAATCCAGAGGTGGTCTACCACTGAGATACAACCCTATCCCATTTGATTTTTTTTATTTTGAAACAGGGTTTCACCATATTGCCCAGGCTGATCACAAACTTGCCATCTTCCAGTTTCAGCCTCCCAAGTAGCTGGGATTACATGCATGTGCTACTGTACCTGGCTTTGAATTCTCCTTTGAACAGCTTGTATTGTCCTTTTGGTTTCCTCATTAAACAAGGAATTAAATATAATCTTTAACATATGTTTATTATAAAAACATAGTTGGCTTCAAAGGTAACTAATGAGATATTTTGTTTGGTATCTGTGTCTCTGGTCATATGAAACAGAGACATAAATGCTCTCTGTTGCAATCAATGATACCAATAGCCAGAGAGTCCTCTAATAGATTGATAGCTTTCTTACTTCCAGGCTCTTTGAGGCTCCAGGATCATCTTATATGTTTCCTTGCTCACATATAGAGTCATTTCTATAGTAAGTGCAGATTCCTTTTAATGACAGTGGTATTTAGATAATTACAATTTTTGTTATAGAAACTCCCTTTGCTATTTGGATGGTCATTGTTTTCAATCTTTTCAGTTGTCAAACATGAGTTCATAATGATGTTTCTGATTCAAATTCTAACCTACAGGGTTTTTATTTAACTACATCAATTTTCTACCTTTCAACTATGTTGAAAAGCTTTGTTCTCAACATGATTATGTATTGCATTCAATTCTATAATACCCAACAACAGTTTCAAAATAACAGTGCCAATAGAACCACCAAAAGGATGACTACTGAAAACAGTTTGATATTGATATTTCTTTTTATCTTTAGAGTACAGTTCACAAAGAAGAGTCAAATTATGATGTTATAAACTCAAATGTTTCCTTTCTTATTGTGTGGTTATGCTATACATTAGGAACCTGAATTCCTTTGTTTTATTTAATCTTTTACTAGTCATTGTTCCTAAAACTGATTTCATAATTATATAAAAGGAATCCAAAGTTAAATCAATAAAAGAATAAAAGAAGTTTCAAATAAATCCAGTCATTAATCTGTCTTCTCTCTTCCTCTCCTTCCTCTTATTTATTAAAAGGTAATCATTTATGTTTAAATTTTATATTCTATCCTTTTATCATTTGATTTTTCATTGAAGGCAAGAATGGCATAATACACACATTTTCTCCACCTATTTTGCACTTAATATAGACACTTCCAAAAAAGTATATAGAAATGCCCCGTCTTCTCTTTTATCACTGTCTAGAATAATCAGATCCTTATTGATAGACATTTGGGCTCCTAAGTATTTTGTTATTTGCAATGTATTTAGTATTGCAATAAATAGCCTTGTTCATACATCTTTTTATTTATTTGCCAGGCTGGATTTGGGATATAGTCTTAGAAGCAGGTTTACAGGACAGAAAAATAAATCCATGTCTTGCTAGATGCTACCAAATTCCCCATCACAGGATTGGAACCATTTTTCATTCCCATTAGCAATATGTGAAAGTGGTAAGGTCTTAATTTATCTGATAATGGCTAAAAAGGAATGTTTTAGTTATATCAAATATAGAAAGACATTAGTATTACCATTATCTACCATAAGTACATCTCCCCCAAATGAAGCAAAATTCATTTTACCTAAAAAGGTACTTGTAGGATAGAAAATGAAACAATGTATTTTGTTCATTTAGGAAATAGTTCAAGTTCATGATATTAGTAATTATTTCAGAGATAGTTTTAATAACTGTGACCTATCACTGCATCCTGTGGGAAAGTTTAGCTACACAGAAAAGTGTCAAAATTAATTTTAAGTTACAAGAGCACTACAGTATAATTCTAATGAGGTGTAAATAAGCCAGCCTGTTCAGTTTCAAAAAGGAGCTCAAAAAGAAATTGCTGCTAGGAATGTAGCTCAGTGGCAGAGCACTTGCCTAGCATGTACAAACACCCGAGTTAAATCGCCAGCACTGCAAAAAAGAAATTTTGCTGAAAATACTAGACAGCAAAGCTACACTAAATCTAAGAAGAGATTATCTTGAGACTTAGTACTCAACAACAGACACTGCTGAGAAGTCCAGGGAGTAAGAGATGATAGGATGGGATGTTTTTCATGTTTACTGGGTTTTTAAAAATTGTGGTAAACACACATAAAATCACCATTTTTATAATTTTAAAAACTGAGGTAAAGTATACACAACGTGAAGTTTACCATTCTTAGAATTTTTAAGCTTAGGGCTCAGTGGCATTAAGCACATACATACTGTTGTGGAACCATCACCACCACTACTCCAGGGCTTTTCCATCTTCCCAAACTGAAACTATGTACCAATAAACAGTAGCTGGCTGTTTCTCTCTCCTCCCTGTTCCTGGAAGCCACCTGTCTTCTATGAATGGTGACTATCTCTAGCTCTAGATCTCTATGATGTTGTCTGACTCAGTGTATGGTCTGTAAGGGGAATCATTTCATGAAATATCTGTCCTTCTGTGACTGACTAATTTCACTCAGCATAGTATCACCCATGTGGTATCAAGTGTCAGAATTACCTTCCTTTTAAGACTCGTTAATATTCCATTGTTCCAGTAATTGGTCCTACTGATGAAGCAACTTTTGAGGAAAGAACTGTTTGAATCAGCAGCTTCATAACTCAGGAATCTTCTTGGGACACTGACAGCATGTAGGGGAGAGGTGGGTGATGAAAGAGCTGAGCATTCACAGAAATCTCTGTGAGGTCACTGGATGACCAGAGAGATAATAGGACTGACTTTAGTGAACAGAACATACACAGCAAAGAATGATGTCTTTTCAAAAATAGTTTGGAAAACCATTGATCAAATGGATGGTTACAGCACTTATAAAGCAGTATCCAGGAGTCCACTAAAGAGTGTGAGGATAATCTGATGTCCAGGTTCTAACATTACAATATTCAAAATGCCCAAATCCCCAACACAAAAATTATGAAGTATACAAAAACAAAACAAAACAAACAAACAAAAACCCCACACAAAAAAATAAATTAAAAAAAAAAAACAGAAACAAGCAGGGAAGTATATGACTATGATCTATCATGGGGAAAAAGAAGAAATCGATAATCAGCATCCCTAAGGAAGCTCAGATATTAGACCATTAAAACTTTTTAAAAATTTTATTTTTTAAAATATTTGATTTTATTTTTAAAATACATGACAGTGGAATGCGTTATAATTCTTATTACACACATAGAGCACAATTTTCCATATCTCTGTATATAAAGTATGTTGACACCAATTTGTATCTTCATACATGTAATTTGGATAATGATGCCTATCACATTCCACCATCCTTACTA